TCTCTCTCTCTCTCTCTCTCTCTCTCTCTCTCTCTCTCTCTCTCTCTCTCTCTGCCTCTGCCTCTGCCAGTTCTGCCTGGGTGGGGGCTACTCTTGCCTTTCTCGAGAGCCTGGGAGAACATCCCTGCCTTTCTTTCCCCTCCACCATTCCCTTCCCTCCTCCCCAGCGCTTGCAGGCAACTTCTCCTTAGAAGAGGGAGCGAGGAGGGAGGACCCCGAGACTTGTGCCCATGGTGCCATCTGCAGCAAGTGCCTTAGCCCCGTGACATTCATGCCGCCAGCGTTCAGCTGCCCCAGCTCCCAGCTCCAATTACCCGCTGGCTGCTGGGGGAGGGTGGGAGAATGTGCCATGCCCAGCTTGGGGTGCTCCTAATTCTGCCTTCTTGGCTACTGAGGGGCACTGGGGTGGGGAGCGTGAAGGTCTGTGGGCTGGTAAGGAGGGGCTGAGCTCTCCAGCAAGGATGTGGGCACGACCACCCATCAGTGGGCGTGGGGGATGGATGCGACCCGGGAGGAGACCTTTAGCCCTGGGGACCCACCTTGCTGCCTGACAGGAGCTGGCCTGGGGAGGAGGGTGAGGAGAGCAGCAGGTGGGTGAGGCTATGGAGGAGTGGGGTGGGAAGCAGTCTTTGATGTTTGATACTGGGCATCTGGCCCAAGTCAAGGCTGCTGTTTATGTCTTTCTGTCTCTGACCTGCAGGGGGGAGTTTCCTGTTATATTCTTTTGGGGGGGTGGGGAGGATCCTTTGTTTAAGTAACCAGTCTCCCCGTTATGTGTACTATGTGTACCCCACCCCCGTCTTCCATTCTCTAGCCTCTAAGGCCCCATGGTGGCACAGGGAGCAGACTCTGGGGTCACTGCCCTTAAGCTCAGAATCCCAGCTCTTGGGGGCCTGGAGAGAGCTCAGGGAGGGGTGCTGCCTCCTCCCCTCCCCTCTCCCCGGCTGGTGCCCTGAGTCTGTGTGTGTACTCCTCTGCCACATCACACCTGCCAAGTAGTACCTTCCTTCCCGCCTTCACTCCTCCTCTCTTTCCTGGCACCAGGATGACAGAGAGTTGGGTGGGGCAGCCCTGCTCAATCCATACCTGAGAACAGAACAGGGGGGTCTGGGAAGGAGAGAGAGAGGTCCCAGCCCTCAAGAGGCCCCTGCCTCTCCACACGGGGCATGTGTTGCTGCGGCAGCTCTACCCTCACGGGGACTCCCAGGGGCTGTTGGAGTTTGTGGCCGCCCGTGGGTGCCCACGTTGGCACGGGGGGGGCGGGGGCAGTGTCTGCACACAGATGCCTGTTTGCCTGTGCATGCCCGCTTGTGTGCTTGGGCTGCAGTAGCGGCCTCGGCCCCTCAGCATCGCCCTTCCTGGCTCCCGTGGTGTGGAGTCAGGGCATCCATGCCAGGTGATTGGGCCTGGGTGCTGGGAGAGGGACCTCCCTCCACCCTGGCAGCAGGCAGAGGGGAAGGGGAGAGGGAGGTGTGAACCTACCCACAGCACTATTAATAGCCCACATGCCAGGCCACCAAGAACCAGCTGTCACCGTGGAAACCATTCCTGCTCCCCCCTCCCTCCTGCCTCCCTGGGGTGGGACTAAGGCGGGGTAGGAAGCCCCCCCACCCATCCTTCTTTGTTACCTTTCTCTTTTTGTCTCCCCCCTCCTTCGTTTGTCTCTCCTCCCCTGTCTGTCGTCCTTTCCACCTCACCCCTTCCCTCCCATGCCCCGTTGGATGCTCCCACTTCCTCTCCCCTACTTCCCTGTCATCCCAAGCTCTGCCCCGGCCCTGCCCCATCTCTTTGTTCTTACCCCTCCCCTCCTTTTTCCCCTCTACCCCCATCCCCCTTTTGCCCCTTCTCCTCCCCTCCTTCTCCCCTTTCCTCTGCCCCCTCTGTGTGTATGTGTTTCTCTCCGGCTGGCAAGAGGAGGGCTGAACTTTCTTCAGAGCATTAAGGACAAAGTTCAGGGGCCCCAGAAAGGTGGGGCCAAAGCCCAGGGCAGGATTATCAGAGGGTTCCTGTGTGTGTGGTATTTGGGGCTAGATCCTGGGGGCAGAGAGTCCCCTCTGGCAGCCCCAGGTCCTTTGGAGGTATCCCTCAGACCTGCAGGACGGCAGAGTGGGATAGACTGGCAGTGGAAACCTGGCACAGTGCCTGTGGATGCCGCATTGGCCTCTCAGCCCTGTCACCCCCCCAACCTCCCCACCCCCTAGCAGAAGCACTTAAGCTTAATGAAATGCTTCCCCCTCCGCGGGCACCTTGCCCATACTGCCACCCAGCAGCTCTTCTCCGACAAAGCGGGAGTGGGTGGCCAGGCCAGCCGACAGGTGGGTCTCGCTGTCCTGCTGTCCAGCCTGGTCTCTGAACCCCGTAGCTCCGCCCCTTCTGCCTCCCTGGGCTGAGCCTCCTGCACCTCTGCGGGGCGGTACCAGGAAGGAGTTTGGGGAATCAGACTGGACCCTTGCAGGAGGGGAGAAAGGCTGCCCTGAAGGGTGGGTACCCCTGCCCCACGCCCCTTCCCTGCTGACCTTTTTCTGTCCACGGCTAACACTTGCTCACATGGTTTGTGCCTCCCCGCTTGCTGGGCCCTCTGCCTCGGCTCTGTGTCATGTCAGCGACCCAAGTATGTCCCTGGAGAGATGTCAAGGAGTCCCCAGGGGTTCCAACCTCTTGCTAGGTGCCAGGTGAGGGTGTCCTAGCCAGTGAGGGCAGCACCTTGCTCCTCTGCCCACTACCAGGGGCTAACTCTAGCCTGGGCTATACTGATTGGCACCAGGGCACCATTCAGCTCAGCGTAAAGGTGGAGCAGAGAGTGAGCCTGCCCCTCCCCCTGGCGGGCACGTGCAAACCCTTGGCAGTGCCCAGACACATTTGGAGTTAAGGCTGGGCAGGGGAGGGGGAAGGGGAAACAAACATGGTGGCTTAGGTTGGCACTGCCCCAGGTCTGCCCTGTGCAACTGGCGAGGGGGGCGTGGGGGGGAAGGGGTCCTCCAGAGCCATGGCCTGGGGCAGGAGCTGCCCACGCCATGCCCTGCGGCTGCTGCGGGTATTCCCTGCCTGACCCAGCCTGCAGCTGGTAATGCCCATTCCTCTACACACTGGCCCTCTCCGGCTGCCCCCAGGGCCTGCTCCCCAGGGCCGCCCCTCTCTTAGCATGCCCACTCTTGTGCCTGCCTCCTTCCCTCCCTGGGGGCGCTTGGGCCTCCGGCTGGCGAGTGGATTTTTCCAGCTTCTGTAAACAAGTGGTGGCAGTGTGCCAGGCGGGCAGGAGACAGGCGGGGGCAGCACCGCAGCCAGGGTGTGCCAAGCACCGAGGCACAGCCTCGGGGGGAGACGGAGACACCTAGACCCTGAGAGAGAGAGACATTCAGGCGCAGACAGACAGACAAGTGAAGGCTCGCTGGACACAGATAGAAGTGGAAACAGAGAGTAGCCCTCTATTGTCCAGCCCAACCCCCACAGCAGCC